AGCCAGCACACTTTTGTAATAGAGATTAACAAGGCATATGCATTGTTAGTCAATAAACTACCTAATCCTGCTTACATGTTACATGATTCCAAGAGGTGTGTGTGTGTGTGTGTGTGTGTGTGTGTGTGTGTGTGTGTGTGTGTGTGTGTGTGTATGTGTGTGTGTGAGAGAGAGAGAGAGGGAGAGGGAGAAGAGAGGGAGAAGGGAGGAAATGTAGAGGGTGTAAAAAATAAATAAAATTTAAAAATCTAAAAAAAATCTGGATTTATGTTTTATAATCTGCATTTATCGTTTATATTTTTAGGAAAGCAAAATAGATGAGCACCATTTTGTTGCAGTGGCTGTTAGGAGACCTGATGGATCTAGACGACAAAATGTACGATTTTATGATTTTTTTTTTAAAATCTTTCTAAAAAGTAAGAATGAATCAATGATGTTTTTGCTTTTATTGATGAAAATTATAATTTACCTTGCATTAGGTTAGGGGGTCAGAGGTCTTGATGGGTTTTGTTTGTTTTGTGAGTTTATAGTTTACAAGGTTTTTTATTATCAGCGCTTATAAAATTATCAGGTATTATACACAGACACATACACACACACACACACACACACACACACACACACCTACCTTTATATTTAGATACCCTTAAACACTGCAAAGGAAAACTTTGATAGAACTGTCAAATTTCCAATAGAAATTCAGTATCGTCACTATCTTAGTCATAACAGGAATTTATTTCTTGGTGAATTGGGGCTGTGTTGAATATAAAGGGCACCAAGTTGAACATTGGAATCACCTTAAAAATTAAACTTATTCCTCGTATTAAACTGTTCCCAGAGTTTATGTGAGACTTTGTGGTCCCACTTCTGTTCTTTTAATCTTAATCTGTTTATATTTCTAATGTTGTTATCTAGTAAGTGTAGGAAAACACTAGGAGTCATAATCTACATATAGCTGTAGTTCTGTGTGAGTAATTTATGGAATACTGTAAAATTTATGCATTTGTTTTTAGGAAACACGTTTGAGAAAATATGTATATTACATGCACACACATGCCTTCATTATTACTTCTAGAAAATTAACGTAGGCCACAGACCATTTCTTTTATAAATAAGTATGGAATTTTGTTTTAGTCTGTCTTAAGAAGATTAGCATGTTAGAATTGAAACTCAATGAAATATAGTATGATTTGGGTTATTCCTCTTACTCTCAAGTCTCAGCTTTATGCTCCCTCTGAATACCTTTATTGGGGGGGTACATTTTTATTCTTTATTTTAATAATATATTTATTCTTTGAAAATGTTAAGTATATATAGGATATATTTTGATCATATCGATTTATTACCTCTAATTCTCCCAGTAGTCCTTTACTCTGCCTCTTTCCCAACTTCACGTGTTTTAACCTAGGGTTTTTGTTTTTATTGATAACCTCAAGTCAAGTTAGTGCTGCTCATATGGACGTGGATATAGAGACATCCACTGAGTCATGAACTGTTTTACTGGCAGCCATATCCCCAAAGTAGATTGGCTAACTCCCAATAAGGGTTGGGTGTCCCTTATCTTACTCATGTAGGAATTTTGAAGTGCTTGATTTTGTGCAGGTCTTATGAGTTGATGTGTGCAAATACCATGCCATGTCCAGAAGTCATCATTTCACAGCTTTCTTCATGTGCCAGCTTGTAAATTTTTTTATGTTCCCTGAGTCTTGGATGAGGGGAGGTTATTATGAACGCTTCATCCACAACTGAGCACTCACTGTTGTTATGTTTGGGACATGACCAGCTATGAGTCTGTCGGTTAACTGTTAACCCATTACAGAAAGAAACTCCTTTGACCAAAGGGGAAAACACACAGATCTATGGATATTAAAGTAATAGAAGGCAATTCGACTATGTGACAGTTTAACATAACAATTTTAGGTTCCTCCCTTAGGGCCTGTGCTATCCCCAGTCATGAGCTTTTGACCCAGTTTTATATTACCAGGTGTGAAATTCCTCCTGTGGAGCAGGCCCCATATCCACTAAGAAAGTGGTTGGTTACTACCATAACTGTTGTTCCACTCTTGCACCATTGGTTAAATGTTTGTGCTTCTTTGAGTAGAACCTACTGCAGCAGTGCATAGTGGGAAAACTAGGTTCAAAGTCTAAGTGTACTTTTTAACTTGTATGGCCAACTTATGCAAATGGTCTTTCTGAGCCTCAAGTCCCATCTGTAAAATTGAGATGACAATATTATAATGGTGTAGAAACCATATAAATAAGTACTGAACTTTATTAAAGTAGTGTATAAAGTTCAAGTGTTATTTAATATGAATTGCTTAGCCCTCATCTGAAATGCTTTGGGATGAAGGTGTTTTGGAATTCAGATTTTGGAGTATTTTACTTATTTATTTATATATATTGGCATTTTGGAGATGGGGCCCAATTTTAAACATGGACTTCATTTATGATTTCATATATACCACCTACATACAGCCTGAAGGTAATTTTATACAATGTTTTTATGTGTTTCAATATTTTGATTGTCTTGTCACATGAAGTCAGGTACCTTGTTGGTACTCAGTAATAATTTCCTGAATGAGTATCATCCCTATATAGTTACAGCAGATCTATTCTAGCAGTAGTGTTTCAAAAATTTTGCCTATGGCCCACTTCTGCTTGCTGAAATTACAGCTCTTCAGATTCCTTATATATATGTATACTGAGTCGGACTGCATATGAGTTCTCATTAAGTCTGTTTTAAGCAAATGCTACAGTTGGTGGCCATACGTAACTTGAGAAACATGTTTATATTTCACTTTTTAAATTGTAACTATAGTATAAGAAGTAAAAACACTACTGTAGAAATTTTACTAAGCCTTAATTTAATACTAAAGAACTGGAATTATTTCAGAATTATAAAGCTATTCATATGGTTAATATGGGGTATATATATATTTATAATAAAAACAAGGCAATCTGTTTTTGTTTTTTTTTTCCTCTTAGGTTTCATATCAAGATGACTCTAAACCATCGCAGAGGCAGTTTACCATTCTTAACTTTAATGATTTGATAGCATCTGCTATTCCTATGACACCTGAGGATCCTTCATTTTGGGACTGTTTTTGCTTCACAGAAGAAATTCTAATACGGAATGGTACCAAGTCATGATAGATTCCCTGAGTAAGGAAAAGAAATGAAAAGGGCAATCTTCTGTGTTCACTAAACTAAAATGCTGGATGTGCTCAAATTTTATTTATCAAAACATTTTTAAGACCCAAATGCTTTTTAAGAGCAGACTTCCAGTTCAGTGGCTTCTTCCTGTCCAGAATTGTAATTGACAAAAATGATGACAAAATCTTCCAGTGATACATATGCTTTATAGAAAGAAAAAAGTAAAGTATAAACATGTCGAAGGCAAGCATTTTCACAGAATTACCCTAAAACTTGAGTTATCATTCCAGAAACTTTTGTTGCAAATGAATCCATATTAACTTTTTTTAAATGATAACATATGTTTTGAAGAAAATACATATGCTCTTCATAACTGTTGTTGATACATAAACTTAGTGGTTCTAAGATATTGCCTGGTATGATGTCTGTGTGGCATATATTGTAAGGTTTAATTTGTCATTAGCATTACAATACTCACATTGCCTTAGCTGCAGTAACAAACTGCTGCTGGAGCTTCCAGGTTTATATCTTTATACAGTTGTGATATTTGTTTTATCAGTGAGTAGCTCGCCCCCCCCCCAAAGATTCCATCAATTCAGATGTGTCTGATATGTTTTACCACTGTCAAAAACAGACCAGTGAAAGGAAAAGCTAAGCCCTGTTGGGAGAATTTCACTGAGGTAACACTACTACTGGGCTTGAGGAAGATGTACCATAGTGTACTCATTTGCCTTTTAGGAGTTTTAGTTGTGTCATTATTAGTGTAAGCAACAGTACAGTAAAAGCTCTGGCATTTTGAGAGACATGCTTAATTGTGTCTTGCAGACAGGTTTTAGAAATGGAGTGACTGGTCAAAGGGGTTAAACAACTTTGGTATGTATTATCATTGCCCTTGAAAAACTACAGTTCATACTTCAGTTAGTCATGTGTGAGTACCACCATCTGTGTACTCTCTGTTCAACTGTAGGTTTTGCCTTGATTTTATTCTCTGAAGGGTTTTTTGTTCTTTCCTTCTATTGGTCTGTATAACTGAAAAGTGGTACCATATTTTAAGTTTGCATTCATTTCATTACAGATGAGCTTGATATGCCATTGTTACTGGTTATTTGTATTTTCTTTTTATAAACCTCTTGTTCATCTTCATCTGTTTTTATTTACTAAATAGACTTACAGTGTGAACATAATATATTAAGATGCCAAAACCATCATATTGATGAGAGAATCTACTATATGGTTGTAGTAGTGCATGTCTTCAGGAGTTAGTCTTATTACTGTTAAATATTAAGAAGTAGAATAATGCCATTGTTCTTATTACTAACATTAAAAATTATGTGTAAGTTATATAAAATTGCTCAGTAAAAGTGTTTTTATTTTATTTTATTGAGCATGCTTAATTTTACAAAGCATAGAAAATGTTGTAGCATTTCTAATAGATGAAGTATTGTAATCCCCTGCATGAGTGTAATACTGAAATGAAAAATCATTTGTCTTATAATAAAATGATAATAATTATGGACTTGTATGGGCTTGACAGTGTGTCAGTAGTGATAATAATTAGCCTGGCTAGATACATGATTACCTTCTGTGTAACTATACAGCTAGCAATAATACTGTCAGTTTAATCTATCTCAAATAATGGTTCTTGAACAAACAGCTTTATTGTCTGGTCATTTTGCCTTCTGTGGCTGGTGTGCAGCAGAATCGTAGGATCTCCTTCACCATTAACCTGAGGATTATTTGCCTCTCTTCTGTGTTCTCTTCCTTTGCCTGGTATGTCTTACATGTACTCCTTTCTGTGACACATAACCTTAGTTAACATCTTAATAACAAAGGGTACTGAGTTTTCTTGTTTTGAGAATTTACAAGGAGAGGGGAAAATCCATTGAACAGAGTGATGTGAATTTAGATATTTTCTAAGTCATTTACCCCTCTCGACTCCAAGCTTACCTTGTTTGTTAACAATGTTAATTTCCACTTTTCCCCCAAGTATTTGGTATTGCCAAGTAGTAAATTTGGTTCTGGCCTGGAAATCAGTGCTGGTTCATATCCTTGTCTCTTTGATCCAAAACCATTGTTTATATAGTGCCGTACTGGTCAATTTGTATGGCATGATGGATCTTCATTAATAATTTCTTACACAGGAATTTCTTTGGGTCGATTTAAGAATGTGTGTGTGTGTGTGTGTGTGTGTGTGTGTGAGAGAGAGAGAGAGAGTCCTTTGCAGTTTTATATATTTGAGTAAATTTTCAGTTAAAAATGATCAGAATTCTATTACTCAGTATTTAAAGTCTGTTAAAGAATTATATTTACATAATTCAACAGACTCAGTTGAAATGTTGCCACCTAAACTTTTGAGAACCAAATAGATGAATGTACATAGAGCTATGGTAAAAAAAAAAAAAAAATTTCTTACTGCAATTCAGCTACTTATATTTTTAAATAAGACTTGAAGACAGCTAATGAAGTTCACTGGGGACACGGGGGATAGATATACAACCATAGCATCTGTTAGTTTGAATTTGGTAAAGATGGTTAGATGCATCTTCAACTTATCAGCTAAATGTTAACTAGCTTTGTGTCTTATCCAGGACTGTTTATGGTAGATAGCAGTCTTCCAGCCTAGGTACTTTACATTTATCAGGTTATTTGGTCATTGTAGCTTTATGAACTAGGTTCTGTTAACACCTGTTTTAACCATGGGGAAATAAGGTACTGAAAGAAAAACTTAGTAATGATCATTTTCTTAGTTAGGGTTACTATTGCTGTGATGAAACACCACCAAGAGTAACTTGGGAAGGAAAGGGTTTATTTAGATCACAGTTCCATATAACAGTTCATCTTCAAAAGTAGTGAGGGAAGAACTCAAGCCAGGCAGGAACCTGGAAGCAAGACTTAATGCAGAGGATATGGAAGGGTGCTACTTAATTGGCTTGCTCTCCATGGCTTGTTCAGACTAGTTTGTTTCATTGTTTTATAGAATTTATGTCTATCAGCCCAGAGATGGCCCCACCTACAATGGGCTGGGCCCTCCCACATCCATCACTAATTAAGAAAATGCCCTACAGGCTTGCCTACAGCCTGACCTTATTGAGACATTTTCTTAGATGAGGTTCCCTCTGATGACATGCTTGTACCATGTTGACATAAAACTAGCCAGTACAACCATACATCCATTGAGTGGTAGGTAGATTTATTATTCAGATTTGTACAGCATATAGCCAAAGTCTAAACTGAGATACTAGTGTAAGCTTAGTGTTGTGTTGGTAAATATTGAACAACCAACAATACTGGGGAAGGCATGGTGGAATCTGGAAGACTTACATTACATATGTTACCAACATATACTGCCATATTTATTTCAGATTGTGTTTTTATATTTATTTGAAGAATAAAGAAGATGCAGCCAAGATCTGTTCCTCATGATTCATTCTAGTTTCATGACATACACATTTTTTTTAGTTTTTTTTTTGATTGTTTCATACATATGTGCAATGTATTATAATCCTTCCATACTACCTTCTATCACCAAATGACCCCTTCCCAGCCAGTCAACCTTCTATTTTATGTTTTTTATTGTCACTTATAAATTTGGGGAAGTGGTTATTTCCTGGGGCATGGGCAATTTACCAGTTCCGAGATACCTCCTGGTAATTTGTTGGCCAGAGAGCCCCCAGAAGCTTTCCAGATAGTATTGTCATTGCTCTTGGTTGCCTACTGGAACTAAATGGTCTTAAGATCCTATTGCTCAAGACAACATATACTTTGTATACAGGGCTTAGAGAAATCAACTAGTACTGAGCTGTGAGCTTCCTCCCTGAGATGGCTCATCAGTTAAGAGCATTGGCTGCTCTTCCAGGACCCAGGTTCAATTCCCAGCACCCACATGGCAGCTTACAACTGGTAACTCCAGTTCCAGGGGATCAGACACCTTTGTACCAGCACATAAAATATTTTTTTTAAAGCATTGTGCGGGTTGCTGGGTGAGAAAAATCAACAATTGGTTTCAGTAGGCATGGCCCGCATGGATTCATGTGTTTGAATGCTTGGCCTATAGGGGCACTATCAGGAGGTGAGGCCCTGTTGATGTAGGTGTGGTCTTGTTGGAGGAAGTGTGTCACTGTGGAGGTGAACTTGGAGGTCTCATGCTCAAGCTCTTGCCATGCTTATTGCCATGATGATAATGGACTAAATAAACCTGAAACTGTAAGCCAGCCCCATTAAATGTTTTCTTTTATAAGAGTTGCTGTGGTCATGGTGTCTCTTTACACCAATAGAAACCCTAAGAATGACTTTCCCAACTATGGGTTCTATGTGCTACAATTCCATTGTGCTAGACAAGGTGTGCCTAGGCAAGATGTGCCTTCTGGTATAATAGTAACATGATTGGAGAGTGATCAACCACTTTACAATTGCAGTAGAAGCCTACTTCCTATGAATAAATTTATTCCTGGTACTGTAAAAACCAAATGACTGGTGAGGTTTCAGGCCTAGGGAGAATATACTACTGATGTTTGGCTAAATGAAGATGTAGCCAAACTACCTCCTAGATCTTTATCTATCCATAGACTAGTGCTACTCACTCTGGATCAGAGAAGCTTTTTGTTCTATTTTGTTTTGCAGAGGGCAATAGTTAATGCAGAGACTTGCAACTGTAAAAGCTGAGAATAACTGTTAAGTGCTCATCTCTAATTGAGATGTGTGTTACCCCCCCCTTCAAGGCTTAGAAAATATAGAAGATAGGGTGGAAAGATTTTAAGAGCTGAACGTTGGAGAGAGAAGTACCATGAAATACAGTCTTCTGGATAGTGCATGGCCACTGCAGTCATGAACACAGATCATCTGTAGCTACTTGCATAAGACATACACATTTACACACAAAGATATGGACATAGAATGGGGTTTAGTTGTGAAGAACAAAGTCAGCAGGAGTTAAGGGATAAGAGGGTGATGGGGGAAGGAGTGAATATGATCACAATATATTCTATATGTGTATGAAACCATCAAAAGTAAAATTGTAAGTCATAAGCACATAACAGTAGAATATTTGACACAAAATTAACATGTTCCTAATCTTTTGGAATAAAAGTATATTACTTACAATACTGCTGTATTATTACTGGTGGTTTTTTTTTTTGTTGTTGTCTATTATCCATCCATTTATCCGTGTCTTTTTTTTTTTTTTTTTTTTTTTTTGAGACAAGGTTTCTCTGTATCTCTGGCTGTCCTAGACTACTTTGTAGAACAGGCTGCCCTTGAACTCAGAGATCAGCCTGCCTCTATCTTCCAAGTGCATGTGCCATCACCACTTGTTACTGATTTTTTTTTTTAATGAAAGGGTGATAAAGACTCATTCTGATTGTGTCTGTACTATCTCTTCAAGGGTAAGCTAGAGGACTTTTAGAATTTAATAGGCAAGATACAGTTCTAGAGGTATTGGTAGCTTTAAAGGTCAACAGCATATTATATCAATTAGATTCAGCCAGCATTGCTTGGGCATTTACCATGGATATAGCTTTAGAGGATTAGCTCTGCACTGTGGAACAATTTCATTGATACCAGGCTTATTATGTCATCTAGATGCCAGTAAAATTCATGTCAAAAACTTGAATATACATGTTCTATTGCATGGTAATTGTATTAAATAGCTCTTGCCGCATGTATCTCTAAAAGTATGCTTTAAGACAATACAAATGAATGGTGGGGGAAGGGGCACAGGACATTACACCATCGTCAGCATGTGAATTAGTCTGAATGATATAGAAATAACTAATGATATTTCTCAAAATTTCAAAATATATGAATTAACTACCACTGATGGATGAATATAAAATGTGGCGTATGTATATAATGAAGTTTTATTTGGCCATAGACAATGAAATTGTCACTGCAAGAACATTTAATTAACCTAGAGCTCATATTCATGGGGTTATATAGCAAATTCCTTAGAATTGAAACTCCCTCCTGAAGGGAGGAGGCAGGTTTATGATACTAAGGAAGTGTAGAGACCCACAGAGGTTTCCTAGTGAGAACTTACTTGGGATCTGAAAATCTGAGCTTTCTTTACACAGCAGACATGGTTACCAGGTGTTTGGAAGGGTATACACTTGGCTGTGCTGTGTGCTTTGATCTAGCAAGAGGGAGGTCTTTTGCCCTACCACTTGGCATTGTTATAAAAAGCCTTTTTGAAGAGGCAGAAAAGGCCATTGGATTTTTGTCATCCTGAAGCTGTCTTGTGTTTTCTGTCTTTTTCCTCTTCACTATCTTTCTATCTAAAAGTTTCTTATCCCTCTCTCCTCCTCATAGGAACCCTTTAAAAGGTGGGAGCTGACCTCCTACAAAGAAGTAAACAAAATATTAAAAAAGTCCCGTAGGGTACACAGTTACTGTTACACAACAGTAAAAAATTGCTGGGATCCAGAGACTTTGACCAGCCCAGCTGCCTAATGAAGCATTAAATCTTAAAAGTTCTTATTAATAAAGTCAAACCCGAGGCCAGTTATTGGGGTCAATGCTGGTAGATCA